GCGCGCGCGCACACACACACACACACACACACACACACACACACACACATTCACTAACTCACTCACAGACCTCTATATAACATATAACAGTCGGTCCCCGATCTCTTCCGTATGTATTTGCCAAGCACTTGCTACATCTACAGCGGCATGCGAGCCATCGTTAATTATAAATCATACTCGATGCAGGGAAGGAAACCTGACGGACGTCACTCAGGCGGGCAGCCTACACCAGTTCTTACAGAAGCTACACTGGTCTCATGGCCCTATCGCATCGTTCTGGTGGGGCACTCAGCAAACAGTCAGCATTGCCTCCCCGGAGCTGTTCAAGGAGCATCAGCATGTGTTCGATAGACCAGGTAATGGACGCGTGCGTACGTTTCCATGGTGAAGCAGGATGCGCGGGACAGCGCGTTCGTTCGTCATCATGATCGCGTGTAAATTACTAGATTATAAATTGAGTAGATGTGTATGAACTCAGAGTCACTCAACAGTATGAAGCAACCAGGTGTCATGGCGCCCTACGATAGCATGAACAATGTTAGCAATAACAGTAGTAACAATCACTGTGTTAACAATCACCGTGTTAACAATGATCGTGTTAACAATCACCGTGTTAACAATGATCGTGTTAACAATGACAGTGTTAACAATGACAGTGTTAACAATCACCGTGTTAACAATGATCGTGTTAACAATGATCGTGTTAACAATGACCGTGTTAACAATGACAGTGTTAACAATCACCGTGTTAACAATCACCGTGTTAACAATGATCGTGTTAACAGTGACCTTGTTAACAATCACCGTGTTAACAGTGACCGTGTTGACAATCACCATGTTAACAATGATTGTTTTAACAATGACAGTGTTAACAATGATATTGTCAACAATAACTGTGTAACGATGACCATGTCGACAATAACTATACACACACGTCACATGCCCCGTTTTTCATCATTTACGCACTTCCTCGCCTTTTTCAGCACTTCTCTTCAAAATGTTCGAGCCACTGGTTGGCAGCAAATGCATTCAGTTTGCCAACGGAGAGGACGGTAGACACAGGCGTGCTGTATACGACCAGTACTTTACCGCCGATGCTGTTGCCACATACTTTGACACCTTACACCGGGTATAACCTATAGCTCTTCCTACAGCTGCTATTCTATAGCACACACCGGGCGAGCTAGATGGCGACTGGGGATGTTTTGGCAATGCGACCTTGATCGGTGCGCTCGGGTGTTTTAATACGTATCTTATGAAAACATCTTGCGACTATTCGTGTGCATGTGTGTGCTCGCTGGTGTGTGTGTGTGTGTGTGTGTGTGTGTGTGTGTGTGTGGTGG